CAACGACCGCCCCCACCGGTGCCATCCCCATACCCCGAGCAACATGAATCCCAATCCCCCCATTAACCACCCCCACTACAATAACCCCCCTCCCAAGCCACCGATGACAAACCCCCCACACCGTCCTACCCCCCGTCCTCACATACCCAAAATGCTGCAACCAGCCCATAGCCGGCTGAAACAGCACCAGCACCCCGACGACAATAATCCCTAGGATCGGGTGCGCCGTGCGCAACTGCCCCGTCTCGTAGGCAAGGTAGATCCCGCATCCGAAGCCCGCGAGGGTCATGAGCATAGTGAAGAACTGGAGAGGCATATGCAGTCTGAATTTGGAGATGGGGAGGGAGATAGGCAGGGGCATGAGCAGGGCCGAGAGCGGGTAGAAGAGCACGAAGGAGAGGCCCATGAGGGTTGCGTGGGTGATGAGGATATGGGTCATTTTGGTGAGGTTAGGGAGCGGGGAGGAGGTTGTGGATGGGTTGGTGGTAGGGGATTGGGCGGGGATGGAGTCCGTGAGTGGGTTGTAGTTGGCGAAGGGGTTTGTGGTGTTGCTGCTACTGCTACTAGTACTATCTGGGGATGTGGTGTTGTTGGCTTGAGGGGGCATACCGGCCCGAGTGAGATCGACTTGGATGCCGCCCATGTCGTCGTGGATGGAGATGTCGGCGTCCATGGAGGCGGAGTTGATGGGCACGCCGGCGCGGTAGGCCCAGATGAAGGGGAAGTTGGTGTCCTTGGGGTTCATGGTGCCGGTGCCGTCTTGCCAGGTGAGACAGTTGTCGCAGCGGAAGTTGGCTGTCATGGTTGTTCTGGTGTTGTCGGAGGAGGGGGAGCTGCTGTTGGTGAGGGCGGCGGTGGTGGAGTTGATGGTGGAGATGCCGGTGCCTGGGAGCATGGTGATTTGGGTGTTGCTTGTGTATTGGGGTTCGAAGTGGCCGAGGCCGGAGCGCGGGGAGAGTGTGATTTTGGTGGACGAGGAAGTGTATAGGAGGAACATGTTCGCGCCGGTCATTTGGGCGCCTTGGCCTAGGCCAACCCATTGGATGGAGGTTGGGGCCGTGATTTGGATGTAGATTGGGCCTGGGGTGGAGAGCGTCGTGGTGTTGGGGATGGTGAGGCTGTAGATGATGTCCGGGTTGGTTGGGGGGGAGAAGGAGATGATGCTTGCGTGGGCTGGTATTCGGCTTGGTTAGTACAGGTAGAGGTGGTGGGTGGTAAAGGGGAGGGAGGGGAGGTAGTACCTAGCCCTAAGGCTATGGGGAGGAGGTTGAGCCACTTCATGGTGATTCTACTTGGGATGGTGGTGGGAAAGGTATCAGGCCTACTGTTCGGACTAAAGTCTGGTAAACGAGGATATATACCCTCCAAGCGGTCAGCTATGTCTCGATGGGAAGCTACCTGCTAGGGTCATGCATGTAAAGACAGACATGTTCCATTGCAACGACGTTGGAACGTTGATGGATACTTGTTTCTGCGTCTCCCCTTGCATCGCCCTTGCAGGGCTTGATTCTCCGCCAAGCTGACGGCTCGAAAATGGTAGCTGTCATGGCGGAAAACAAGGTTCAATAGACGTGGATCAGCCGATGGCATTGGGCTGGAATAGTGCTGTTGGAGCAGTCGGGGCTCGGGAGATTCTAAGCCACTATGTGACATGGAGCTGGAGAGAGCCAAAGAGGGACGTGAGGGATCAGCGAGGGGGTCCCTTGCAGGGTTGGTATGTGAGAAACTTCGGTGATATATCCATGACAATGTGGGATTGTTTGGTGAGTCTATCTCAACAATATATAAATAGGATAATATTAGCTAGCAAGTGAATATAAATTTGTCAACTTAATAGAAACGACACCTAACACCCGATATCACACTCTTAGCCCATCTCTCCCGATCTTAGCATCTCAGCTACTATTCTCCGAATCCAGTATGACTGCTCTATACCCCTGCAGACCCAAGAATGCGCCGACGCACGATCCCCGCACCCCAGACTCCCCCTGCACCAGTGAGCAGTAAGTAGTTGGCAATTAGTTGACAATTACCTACCTACCTAGGAGTTAGTGCTACTCCCACCCCAACTCACCCCATACAAACATACTATCGGCATCTACACAGCCGACCACCCGCACCCGCACCCACTCGGCAACCAATCTCGGGTCGGGCGGATAAACGGTCCATTCCAAACTCACTCCAACATACAATAATACTAAAGTGCTTTCATCCCCACCCCACCACCCCCTCCCTCCATCCACATTAACCAACTTATGTTTATCATCCCCAAACCCCGACCCAAACCCTACCTTTACAAACTGTAAGCCAATCACTCCCCTCACAATCCTCTCCTACAACAAGCCTAACAACAACATCACCAGTAAATCAATACAATCACGAAAAATGCGCCTCCCCTACGCCCCCTCCACCCCCCCGGACCCCACCGACCTCCCCACCACCGAAATCTACTCCCGCATCGCCGCCCGCCGGCATCCCCGCCCCCTCATCCCCCTCGACCTCTCCCTGCTTCATTCCCCTCCCGTCGCCGACGGCTGGAACAGCTTCCTCGGCGCGATCCGCACCCAGACCATCATCGACGGCGGATTACTCGAGCTGGCGGTGTGTCGCGTCGCCGTGCTGACCAATGCCATTTACGAGTGGAATGCGCATGCGCCGTTGGCGCTGAAGGGCGGGATTAAGGGTGTGGAATTGGGTGCGGTGCGGACACTTCCCTCTCTGGCCGAGGGAGATGCGAAGGCGGAGGAGGAGTTGAAGGGAAGTCAATTGACGGATCTGCAGAAGGCGGTGGTGCGGTATGTGGATGAGATGACGCGGACGGTGAAAGTGCAGGATAGTACGTTTGAGAAGTTGAAGGAGGTGGGGTTGTCGGATCGGAAGATTGTTGAGTTGACGACGGGCGTGGCGGGGTATAATTGTGTGAGTCGGGTATTGGTTGCCCTGGATGTGGGGGAGAATAATGCGAAAGAGATGAGGAGTGTGGATGATTTGGTGGCGGATCTTGAGAGGAAGTGATCTATCGTCGATATAGTATGGTATAATGGGTGTATATAGTGGGTTGGTGGGGTGATAAGGGTATCAAATGCTTGATTGAATGGGAGGTGGAGGGTAGCTAGCTAGGCCTAGTATATATATCTAAAGTGGATATTCTCGCGGTCTGTCCTGTCCTCGAACGCCCTCGCTAGATGGTCCTCGCCCTCTAGGGATATACCCATCTCTGCCATTGCCTTGTCCTTCTTCTTGTTCTCTCGGATCAGGTAGAAGCGCAGGAAGATCACCGCCAGTGTCATGGCGGAGTAACAGCCGAGGTGCACGCCGAAGGCAATGAAGTACCGTGGGGCGTCGCGATCGAGGAATACTTGGGGGCCTACTTCATTAGTATGTCTCTGGATTTATAGGGACACATAGGGTCATACCGATGGCGTTCCCGACAGCCCAAGACACAAACGTCGCAGCCACAACAGTTGACTTCTTAGTAGCGCCGGCAATGTTCCTTGTCACCATGGACAAGCCCAAGTTCTGCGCAGACCAGAACGAGAGTGTGATGTAGTAGCTGATGAGCAGGCCAACTTTGGTGCTAAGGGAGTGGTTTTGCACCGTCATGAGGACGATGGTTCCGACGAAAGATCTATCTCCTGTTAGTATCACAAAAATGAGAATAGTATATGAGAGAGGGGCTCACGGAATGATAAATCCCAGCATCACCAGCAAGTTCTGCTGATATCTCTTGACCAACCACGCACTCGTCAACAACACAATAATAATGTAAAAGCCCAGAACCATCGCCAACAACTGCGTCTGCAACTCCGTAAAGTTGAACCCACTAATGATGATATTCGCAAACGCTCCCAGTCCACTCGTGGGCAGCGTGGTAAAGATCTGAATCGCGCAGTAGCAGTACATCTGCGGATCCCGGAATGCTTCCCACATCTGGTACGCGCGGAACTTCTTATTCTGCAGTCCGGTCTGGTTGGCGCGCACACGCTCCACCATCTTGTGTTTGTCCTCTTCGGTAAAACACTTGGCGCGCATCGGGGAGTCAGGCATCCACCAGACCACGAAGAGGCCCCAGAGCACGGAAATGCAGCCGTAGGTGAGGAAGAGCGCTTGCCAGGATTTGAGCGCGCGGTCGGAGCCGATTAGACTGAAGCAGTAGGCTAGGAGACCACCGACGATTTGTTGGCCGCCGTTCATCATGTACCTGCTGCCATGTTAGTGTGTGTAGATGAAAGGTGTAGGGCGGGGATTACCAAAAGGTGACGGTAGAGGCTTGTTCTTCTCGCTTATACCACATGCCGGAAAGCACAACAAAGGAAGGCTGACAGGCAGCTTCGAAGATACCAAGCAGAGTACGCACAGTCACTAGACCGGCGAAGTTGTGGCATGCCGAGTGCAGGGCTAGAATTGTGCCCCAGCAGACGATATTGAAGCCGAGGTATTTGGCGATGCGGACGCGTTGGATGATCCAGTTGGTAGGGTATTCGACGATCAGGACGGCGATGTAGATGCAGGTTGTGAGCCAGGAGTACTATTCAGTTAGTGCCTGAACGTATCCAGGTATAGGCTCGCTCACCTCCTGTCCCACGAGATGAGCATCGTCGCGAATGCCCATGATGGAAGCAAACGACATGGTACCCTTATCCAGCGCCTGCAGAAAATACGTCACGATCATGATGACCAACACACGACGATCAATCATACGGCGAAGACGCCGACTCTCGGCTTCATCGACCTCGATCTGGCCGCGGGTGGCATACTCCAGAACCTCATTATCGACACGAGCAGCATCGATCGGGTCCTTGAGTTTGTCGGTGGGGGAGAGCACCCGCTCGACATGGGAGACATCTTGAGTCGGCTTGTGATCCTCCACAGCTGTGGAAGCTCCTTTGGAGTCAGGCCCGCCCGCGGGCATCGAGTTAATATTCTCCATAGACATATTGCTGCCAGACCTCTAGGGTTAGAGAGGATCAACTGGGTCAACTCAGCTGGGGGACCGGACACCCTTATATCGGTCATGCGGAAGATAGAGTCTGACTAGGGCATGAGTGGCTGCTCCGTGGCTGCATTTTCACTCCAATGAGAGGCATTATGGGCAGGTCTGATAGTCTGATAGTCTGATGCCAGGGATGCCTACGGGCTGGGATTCTCCACGCGTACAATCCGGGGGCGGACCCTGCCGCCCCCGCGCGGGGACAATTGGCCCGAACCCTTCGCTTAGAAGCAATTTAGAGCCTATCCTTAGTTTAGCATCTTAAACGACTAATCCCTCTATTTGCCGAGCGAGCTTGGCAGGATTAAGACGTGGCTGCTCGGCAGAATTTAGCCCGAGGGCATTCCCCGCATTGCTGCTGGAGCTCGACACGAGGGGTGCTTCATCCCACTTATAGACACCGGTGTCACCATACTGCAGCACAATCAACCGCCACCCCAGCAAACCTCCTCGATCCTCATCTCTCACCATGGCTTCTACATCTCCTCCCGCTGTCAGGTCCAAGATTGACCTCCTCATCACCAACCTCGTCAACATCCAAGACAAAACCGGTCAATTCCTCCTCCCCCTCGCCGATGGCCGCATTATCGATACCAAGTCCTGGCATGGCTGGGAGTGGACACATGGTATCGGCCTCTATGGTATTTGGAAATACTACGAGATGACCGGCTCCCCACACCTCCTCCAGATTATCGAAGATTGGTTTGCCGCCCGTTTCGCAGAAGGCGGCACCACCAAGAACATCAACACAATGGCCGTCTTCCTTACTCTGGCATACGTATACGAGAAGACGAAAAACCCCGTCTACCTTCCCTGGCTGGATTCATGGGCCGAGTGGGCCATGCATGAGCTCCCACGCACCAAGCAGGGCGGAATGCAGCATGCTACGTACCTCACGGAGAATTACCAGCAGTTGTGGGACGATACGTTGATGATGACCGTGATGCCGTTAGCGAAAATTGGAAAGTTGCTGAATCGGCCAGAGTATGTCGAGGAGGCCAAGCGTCAGACGTTGGTGCACGTAAAATACTTGGTGGATACGAGCACCGGGCTGTGGTTTCATGGCTGGACGTTCGAGGAGGGAGGACATAACTTTGCTCGGGCGAGATGGGCGCGCGGTAATAGTTGGGTGACGATGGTTATCCCAGAGTTTGTTGAGTTGTTGGAACTGAAGGAGACAGATCCCATTCGCCTGTTCTTGTTGGATACGTTAGAGGCCCAATGCGAGGCATTAATGGGCCTGCAGGAGGAATCGGGCTTTTGGCACACCCTGCTTGACCATCCCGATTCGTACGTCGAGGCCTCCGCCACGGCAGGCTTTGCATATGGTATCCTCAAGGCTGTTAGGAAGAGGTATCTGCCAAAGAAGTATCGGGTAGTTGCAGAGAAGGCCGTTCAGGCAGTGTTGGGCGCCGTTGATGAGACTGGAGAACTGCAGCAGACGAGCTTTGGCACCGGCATGGGAGATTCTTTGGAATTCTATAAGAAGATTCCCTTGACAGCCATGCCATATGGACAGGCCATGGCCATCATGGCGCTGGGCGAGTATCTCCGGGGATTCTTATAGAACTGTATTTCTTCCTTTATTGAATAGCATATAGAGCAACAGGACCACCTTTCTGATTAATCTGTGAAAGAAGTAATATTGTATCGGTTCAACTCTCTGAGACGGGTTTGTATCCGTAAATTCGATCCAACTCTTCTTTAAAAAAGAAAGATCCACTTTCACACCTTTGAGTCAGTGACAAAAAGCTCCCCCGCTTTCCGGAGGCGGTGCTGATGGGGGGTGGCATGTACTGGCAACCCCACTGCGAAACTAGTGTTAGCTTCCTTGCAATGGCCTCCTGGAATATAGTCTATGACCCCGAAAGTAATCTCATTGTACAGCTCGATCAAGCTTGGGGGCGATCGCCTCTCGGTATAATAAGACCTAGCGTCCTTTTCTTGGCCATAGATATGTCACCAGATGGCAGCAAAGAGATGGTAGTCATCAGTAGAGTCAAAGAGCAGCTTCAAAATGACCTCCATGACATCTCAGTGCCCTTTGTATGCGGCGATCGCAGCACCCACTGGGTTCCATCCTCGAAAGTAATGAACACAGCCCAATTGAGGCTGCCGCTCGCGGGATGTTGGTTAAGGTCGCAAATGCATGGAATATTCTGTCGAAGTTTGCTTGCAAATTCACAGAGTGCGTGGATATTGAATCTGGCATGCAGTAATATGGCGGGCCTCTTATCAGATAGCATGATAGTGTCTAAGACATTGCACAGTTCATGCTGAATGTGTACTTGGTAGTTGTTAAGGCACTGGCATGCCAAACGGCAGAATTCAGAAGGCGGTCAAAAAACATACAGAATCCACGGTGACCATCTGGGATCTGGAAAGCCTTAAATCCGCTTAAATCCGGGGTTTTTTGATCGAGGTTCACTAGGTTCTGCCGCATTTGGCGGTCAACCGAGCGGTCATGGGGGACAGTATTTGGAGGTAGTCTGTGTGGTTGGTTGGTGAGCATCTACTTGGCTTCCAGTTCATTGAATACTACCCTAGCATCTTCCTGCTGACCTCGAGTCTTGATACACCCCCCTGGAATTTTGTGATGCTATAAATTCATGTTGTTGAAGGCAATCTGTATGATCTGTATATACTACGATGTGAGTATGCCTAACATTGCACAGGAGGAGAGCGCATAGATGAGCAAACTTCAATATCATTCGACAAACAAAAACCTAACTACTATCCCAGCTATCCCTCGACATAAACCTACACTCTTCATCAGAGTACCCAAATCTTTAATTACCAACGGATGTAATCATACGCACACTTCCCAGAGTATAGCGCAGAAGCAAGTATCTGCATGTCCCCACTACTCTCCCACCCTAGTACTTCATACAGTCCGACCTCACACAAAATATAAGTCCATAAAGTGAAGAGCATGCTCCAAGCTCCAAATCTCCCGCATACACCCCCAACCCGACTCCTTAAGCCACCTCACAACCCCAGTCAACCATGGGAGACCTGCAGTTCTGCCACCTTGCATGGAGGCATCTCCCCCCGCCGCAGACAATACCGTCGGCCTAAAGGATCTAGGCATGATATAAGTGTGACGATTTTCCAAAGATCTTCGTAGACATGAGACCGACGCGCGGCACAAAGGACGACTTTGCATAGGATAGAAGATGAGAATGTTCCCCACAGGGAGCAATAAACACACCTGAGCAAGCGTCTCTAGATGCTTTAGTCTGATGACGGACTTTCTCTCTTCGCAGAGTACCCCGAATGGTCTCAGGGGTATGAGGTCATCCCTGACCGCTATGCTCGGGGTTGGTGGTTGGTCGAGGAGCATTTCTCGCCAGCTGGCTTCGGGGCGGGAGTAGGGGTGGTTCCGTCCTAGCCTTGGATGGTTCGTTGTTTGTAGGGGCATGAATGGGCGAAGCCAGTTGCTGCTATCTTGTGTGCTGTCGACTAATCTAGGGTTGCTGACGAAGTGCTTCAGGAGCTTGTCCATGAACGGGTTTGTGGTGCGCTTGGGATTCTGCTCTTCCGTTGGTGGCTGCCTTTCAGGGCGGAAGAATAAGGCTCTTTGGAGGGTCGGGGATGTCTTGATGAGTGAGTTCCAGAGGTGGCAGACGCGTTGGGAGAGAAGGAGGGTGGTTGCGTCAAGCTTCACGAGGACTTGTTCCAGTACCTCGGGGATGAGGAATATCTTGTGTGGTGATTCCATTGTTCTGGTTTTAATGATGTAGCTTTTCAGGTGGGTTTTGTTTATATAGCAAGTAAAGAAATGTTTACCCTGAGAGTAGATATTGCGTAAATGAGAAACTAGTTGTGGAGACTTTCTTTTGTTGTCGTCCTAGTTGTTGCGTTGTAGTGTAATGTGATGGACAGGTAAAGACCGAGACATCTGGACTTCCAAAGGAAAGGTACGTTCCTGGTTACGTAGGGTATTATCATTTATTCGTGTTGATGAGGTACACGACTGGCCACTTGAAGACGGGAGGATGATGAAATGATGAGGATCGTATAGAGATTTCACCAGTCCCACCTTCAGAACATCATCATTCGTATACACCGAGTCCCGGCTCCAGATATAGATTGACATAGGCCCTTATAAAGTATCAATGTAGAGAGCCAGTGATTGACCATGGTCACATTCCAGACGAATCCTGTTCATGTCTTGTAAACCACCTACAATCGAGCCTCCGAAATATCAAGTCCATATTCCTCTGCAAGCGCCTCTCCGCATGTCAAACCAGTCACATACGCGGTCGCCTGCGTGTGGTTGTTGGTCAAAACAGGCACCACACCCATGTCAGCGATTCGCAGATTCTCGACACCAAATACCCGGAACCGGCTGTCCACGACCGCATCGACATCCCCGGATTTGCCCATCTTGGTCGTGCCAGTCATGTGCCAACTGGACCCGAGTGTGTTCTTCCAGAACTCAAGAATATCCTCATCCGAGTCGGACGGGGGAGCAATTAAGGCGGACACTGTGTCCTTCTGGAAAGATTCATGCTTCGTTACCTCTAGCGCATGGCGGTAGATCTCAATACATGCGCGCCTGTCGAACGGATGTGACAGGAACTTCGGGTCAAACAACAGCGGGTCTTCGGGGTTGGCTGACTGCAGACGTACTTCGCCACTGGATTGCTCGTTCATCAAGAACACGAGCATGCAAACGTAGCTGTAGTCTTTGAAGGGCTCGGGAGAGATAAGATGCAGTGGGAAGTGTGTCATGAATTCATAATGCGGCACCGTGTCGCGTTGTAGGAAATCTTGCACAGTCGGAGGCAGTGCTTTGAATTCTTCAGATGCGACCAAGCGATCCGATTTGAGCCAGCCGGCGCCAATCTGACACGAGTGACGTGCCCATGGTCCAGTGCCATCTTTGCTCCATTGCTCTAGAGCCGACTCCATGGCGGCCGGGTTGCCGAAGAAAGCATCACGATCGTTCGTTGTCGGGTTCCGTTGGAAGCAAAGCGGTGCGAAGAAGTGGTCTCGAAGACCCTGACCTACCGCAGGTATGTCCTTGATGATGGGGATCCCAAATTGTTGCAGTTGGTCCGCTGGTCCAAGTCCCGAATGCATGAGGATCTTGGGCGTGTCCAGTGATCCGGTTGTTAGAATCACTTCCTTAGATGCGAAGTCTGCAGCGACGAGCTTGGTTAGTTGGATAATTCAATCAAATGATGATTCTAATGCATACATCTTGCCCCCGTGGTTTCCACACCAACAGCCTTGGTGCCTTGGAGTACGAGCTTGAGCGCCGGCGTCTCCGTTATGATAGTCAGATTAGATGGTGCCCCATCTAAAAGATCAGTTGCCGTCACTCTTCGGCCCTGGTGGGATGAGTTGATGACCAAAGCCATTCCAATCGGGTCTCCCGAGTTGTGGTCAGGGTTGCGAGTCAGGCCAGCCTGCTCGAACACATCCATCATAAGAGGAAGATCCTGCTCCCATTCAGCCGCATAGCCGACCTTTAGACCCCCCTGGGAGCCGTGGTCCGAGGTATTTGGGGTCGCATATTTGCTGTGCTTTGGGTCCACAATGGCACCGTTGAACGTCTCCAACTGCCTGAATCGAGCTTGCATGCGCTCCCAGCGAAATAAGTCATCACCAACAAGCCCAGCCCATTGGTTATAGTCGTCTCGCGCACCCACGGTGTAGACACCGAAGTTGATGGCACTGCTGCCACCCAGCACCTTGCCCCGAGAATAGTCGATCTGTCGACCATTACAGTGCTCTTGTGGGGTGGTCTTGTAGCCCCAATTCAGGTCTCCATTCATAAAGGTTTGCCATCGCTGGCCGTCCACACGCAGCAATGGATCATCCTTACGAGGGCCGGCTTCAAGCAGGAGGACCTGAGGGCGTCGCGCTGACCGAGCAAGTCTTGAGGCAAGGGCACAACCCGCCGGGCCACCTATAATATTGTTAGGTGTAAAGCTCCTGATCAACGAAGAGACTTCCATACTAACCACCCACAACGATGAATTCCCACGTCTGATCAGTCGAGGCCATTGTAAAGTCAAGAGTACCACCCTGTCGGCAACCGTAACACAGCGATAAGAACAGTGTCTCACAAGACAAAAGGATGACAAGTCAGAAGAGCAGATGCCCCAAATAAAGGCAATTGACAGAAGCTTGGCGGGTGGGACTCCCATTGTGTCTAGTCCTGGGATCGACAGTAAGATACGAATGACAACCCCGCAACATTCGCGCCATGTCCATTCCCGGCCAACCTAAAAGACGGAACCAGAGACGGTTTACACCGTTGTGTTGTGAGCTGCCGTGTCTTGGGTCAAGTCAGCCGTGCGGACACATCATGGGCTATTCCAGGCCCACAGAGTCAAGACTAAGTGAGTTGGACGTCTCTAGGCAAACTGTTGAGGTCCACTCAAAGCCGTTCAAAGTGATGATCTTTGAGTCTCGCGGCGCAGGACCGACTGCTCTATTTCCCCGAGACCTTCCCTCCTCGGGGGCATTTCCGCAGTGGAATTGACGCATTGTCTCAAGGAGTTAACAGCATGCATAAGCTTGACAGGGATCATCTTCCTAGTCGCCCTGCTGAATGCTCCTTCGCCCACCACTTGTCGTCCAGCTCTTTGCCATTGGTGGAAGTGAACACGAGTAAAGAGGGGAGAAGACATAGCATTCCAGTGCAGACCTCTGTAAGCCGGCTAGACCAGAATTGTCGGGTATGCGACCGGGGGGTACGAGATCAGATACTGCTTGGCGGAGTTCATGAAGAGCTGCAGAGACGCGAGGTCGAGAAAACCTGCATAATGGAATGCAGTTTGCTGCAGAAGCTTATCACCTCCCGCATCGCTTTTATTTTTATTTTCCTTCTTTGTTCCTCCTTCACTACTCAACAGACAAATGGACGCCCGCATTATTTCCTCCCCAGGCCTCAACCGTCTGGTATTCCAGGTCCGAACTTAGCGCCCGAGCAGCAGAGTCGATCGGCACGGCGATGAGGACAACATATGGGGGCCTCTTAGACTCTGGATCGGGGATGGAAATCCGAAATTTTTGTGGAGAAAAAGGGGGTCAGTGAACTGAGCGAAGAGCTCGTCCAGCGCGACTAGCGCGGCCACTTCACCAGTCTCTGTAGTCTGTACTCCGTAGGTTGCGCGACAGCGCCGATCGGGACGCAACCCAAGTGGGGAGCGTTTGTCGGTGATCAAAAAAGGTGTACAGTAGCTCGGATACCGTAGTACTAACGATAGTACTTCGGAGTCCGGAGAAAATCAGTGATGGCAGATGGTTGCAAAGTTGGGCTGTGAACGAGAGTGGATTTGTGGAATATGGGAGTTGGAGAGCTGAGAAAAGAGCCCTCCAAATGTCGTGCCTGAGGCCACACTACATTGGGTAAAGGCATCCTGCTACGTTCAGTTGCTTTACTGAGTACACGGCCACCAAGGACAAATCGTAAAAAGAATTGAAAGACTAAAGTAGACATGAAGATGATGGATAGTCCCAGTATGCGCTTGTATATCCGGTCACCCTTATATCTATATATAAACCAGCAATTGCAGGCAAGCATCATAAGGGGCACCTACCAACAAAAACGAAATATAGAACCTCTTCTATTGTACTGCCGCTTACCTGCATGGTAAATTTGTACTACTTCCTTTTCCTGAAGCTAGTGGTCGACTGTTCTTACTAAGAGGAAGTTCTAATAAGGGTACTTTGAGGCCCGCCCTGGGACGCATAGTACACCGCGCGTAGCTTGGTGTCACAGCCCAAGATAATGTCCGCACACAAGTAGCTGGGGTATAAATATAGTCGTCAAAATGTTTGTCGAGCAAATATGACGAGAGGCTGCCATGGTGATCTAAAGTTGGTAGTAGTAACACAGGAAGGACCTTCCGACCCAGTAGGTCCGTTCCCCGATATGCTCGATGCTTCGGATGGAGCTTCCTATGCTTGCTACGGTCAGCGAGTTAGGTGCATCAACCACAACGATCAACAATGTTGATAAACCTAGCATTGCTGTTGCTCGAGGTATCGTCTCTCGTCAGAGCCAGTTTTGCATGTCGGTGTCAACCTAGTGACGCATGCTGGCCTTCCGGGGATGAGTGGAAACACTTGAATGAATCCATCAGTGGCCGTTTGGTTCGCGTCTACCCCATTGGTCACGTATGCCATGCGCCCTTCTTCAACCAAGCCTCCTGCAATCAGCTTGTTCACTTGCAGTACGATTCTAACTGGCGCGCAGAGCAACCAGGTAGGCTGCCAGTCATGAGAAATGCCTCGGTCTGTTGTCGCTGACATGCATGCAAACACTACAGGAGCTTTGCAAAGCTTCAACTGGGAGAATTGGCCGGGGAAAAACGAAAGTTGTACCATTGAGGCAAACTCGAGCTCCGTGTGCGGGCAAGGGCGCATACCGTTATACTCTGCAGTAGTCCACTCGGTCGCCGAGATCCGCACGGTGGTCAGGTTTGCCAAGCAAAGAAATATTCGATTGGTTATTAAGAATACGGGTCATGACTCAACTGGTCGATCAGGTGCTCCTAATTCTCTTCAGATCTTCACGAATCGCTTGAAAGACATAACCTTCCACGACGACTTCGTCCCTTCCCAAGGGGGATGGGAAATGGATAAAGTCGACGCCACTGGAGTGCCTGCTGTCACAATCGGGGCAGGAGTCATAGTAGGTGAGCTTTATGCCGCCGCTGCTGCTCGGGGACTTATCGTGGTAGCAGGAGAATGCTCCACGGTCGGCGTTGCTGGAGGGTATCTCCAGGGAGGTGGAGTGTCAACAGTCCTTAGTCCATTGTACGGACTGGCGGTAGACCATGTTCTGGAACTGGAAGTTGTAACGGCACAGGTACGTGCAACTTTCCATCGACCCTCACGGCGCTAATCGAATCAGGGCGACATAATCTCTGCAGACAAGAACCAACACGAGGATCTGTTTTGGGCCCTCCGGGGAGGCGGAGGAGGCACTTATGGCATTGTCACCAAAGCCACGATGCGCACATTCCGAGATATCCCATCAGTTATCCCGACCATCCATTTCACCTATCCACAAGCAAATGATATCTTCTGGCCGACATTAACACAGATTGTGGGACTAACGCAATCCATGTCGGTCCACGGAAATTCTGGACAGTACATAGTAGGTCGTCTGCCGAGTTACCATTGGTACGTGAACTGGACAATGTTTGTCTGGGACGACAACGATTCAAAGTTGCTTGAAGAACAGGTTCTGCCCTTTCTGAATTTTCTTGACTGGCTTGGTATCGAGTATCAATATGAGTTGGCCGAATACTCCAGAATCAGCGCCTTTCTCACTATTCCCAAGCAGGCAGACATTGGCGGGATCGGATACCTGCAAAGCAGCGTAGTGATATCCGAGTCATTCATGAATAGCATCGCCGGCCCTTCAAAACTGACAGCGTCCTTTTCGAAGCTGGTATTGGATCCTGGGGCACTAATCACGGTCAATGTGCTGGGAGGGCAGATTAACCTCAACACCAAGGACGAGGACACATCTGTCAATCCGATGTGGCGGTCATCTTCCCTCCTTGTAGTTCTGATGCAATCATTCCCGCCCACGCCCGAAGCGCAATCAGCCGCACATCAAACGCTGTCCCAGATCAATACACCTATCCTTGCCTCCATCGATCCTGAGGGAGGTGGTGTCTACTTCAACGAGGCAGATCCCGATCAGAGTGACTTTCAGAATGCTTTCTGGGGTCGCCATTATGGCCGATTGCGTCAAATCAAGAGCCAGTGGGATCCGGACGGCCTGTTCATGGTGCGGAACGGGGTTGGCAGCGAGGACTGGGATGTTGAGAGTATGTGCAGGGAGGAGACTATGGCACCGGTCTAGGCCATCAAAGTATGCGGGAGGATTTCATGCCATCGTAGGCTGGCGCTCTCATCCGAAGCCAAGTATACATGTAATTAGGAGAACCAGTGGCTTCGGGTCCACAACAATGGGATCGGTGGAATGCGGAACTTTAGCACATGGCATGAATAGTTTGTTATGGCACTGACCAGCTTTCGTTCCCGGCTGAGGAACGAATTATGCAGATCCTTGCTTATTCCGTGTAGATGGAGGGAGGTGTATACGAGAAGATGCTACGACCATCGAAGTTTCAGAGTTTCAAGGGGGGGCGTTACTATTTGGTTCGTGTTACTGAACAGGAATCTGGGGTAAACCACTAGAGCCACGAAAGGTTGTGCCTCGGAGACTCGATGTCTAATTTGGGTATCTTTCGGACGAGATGGCGAAGCATAAATATAGAAAGTGTAGGAGATCAGGGAAGAAGGAGAGGGGAGAAGGGAGTTGGAACTGACAGTTCCAGGGAAGTTAGACGAGGGAGAGCAGACGAACCATGTGACTTCTCTTCCCCCCAAATAACCGTACCACCAGCCACAGTCTTGGCTGGGCTCGGCTATTGGGAGACCCGACGAACCAGCCGGGGAACCAGAGCAGCGGGTATTCGGTACGCTGAAGTATGCGCCCAGGCCTACTATTAGTTAGTACTAGGGAGTACTTAGGTCTGGTACCTGCTGGGACTGGGAGACCCTTAACACCGCCCGGCCCCCGCGGAATTAGGGTCAGCCGGACAAGAGGCCCAAGCCTGCAGAGTTGCCAGAGGCGCCGGCGCTGTAATGCCAGGTTCCCCGAAATTCAGGCAGGCGGGTTCAACCCCAGACTCTTCCTAAGTCCCGTCCCAGAACTCTGTCTCTTCCAACCCCCTCCCCAACTCCTCCCCCATGATCCAATAATCTAGTCCCTTCTTTTCCTTCGCTTCTCTCCTCTTCTCTCCGCTCGCTCTGTCGCTCTTCTTTCGCCTCCCCGCTCCTTTCCATTTTCTACCCTCTTCTTTCTCAATCTCTCAATCTTTTGAAATCAAACAACCACCCCTCCACCTCCGGGTGTTAACGGCTTTCTTTCTTTCTTTCTATGTTTCCTTCACTGTTCGTTCTGGCTTTCCTTCAGCGATACAATTAAAATAGACCTCCAGTGGCGCCGCTCCAAAACCTTCCGACTTTTCCCCTGTCGCCCTTGAAGACCTCCTTCCCCCTTCATCTTGCGACGAACGGTACGAACAACCACCTTAAATCGCCACCAGAGTCTTTTCCTCCCACTAGCGTCCTACCTTCAACTCAGTATTGAAACTGGGCGCTTGCGTGCGTTTCATGGCTATCCGGTAAACCGGACGCTGGCTGCGCCTCACTTGACGAAGGCTAATCTGGACCTAGGAGGCTCCAGAGACCCCTTGCGATCGGCTGGGCAGTTATTCGACTGGGAAGATAAGGATGCAAAGAAAGACGTGGTTTGGTTTTACAAGTGCTTCTGGTCTGTCGCATTTCTTGCTCGTCGGGACGCATAGACCGATTTGCCGGACTTTGACATCGATTTGACATGGCGCTACCTTCTAAACTCGTCGCAATCGGAATCTATAACCGGCCTACTGCCTTCGTCCTCTGACCTCCATTCCTGGGAGGGTGGTGGACATCTACTATATCAGTCTAACCCTGTGGTCGAGGTCACCGATCCCCAAACATGTGGGATTCTCTCTCCAAACCGCCCGAGGGCCTCATTGGAGGTTACCAGGGTGGTAGCATGGCCATCAAGATTTTGATGGCAGTCTTCTGTGCAATTGCTCTATATAATGCTGTCGAACTCGTCATTCTCATCTTCCTCACCTTCACTCGCTACAGCGGTCTCTATTTCTGGGCCATGTTGCTCTCCGCCGTGCTTGGCGTCATCCCCCAAGCAATCGGCTTTCTGCTGGAGTTCTTCGCCATCGGGCCCCTCTGGTTTGCAGTCACCTTCTCTACATTAGGTTTTTACTTTATGGTCCCAGGCCAATCCATTGTACTCTACTCTCGACTTCATTTGGTCGTACAGAGTCAAACGCTGCTGCGGCGGGTGCTGTACCTCATCATCTTCGATACAATCGTCCTCTTGATCCCTACAACCGTTCTCACCTATTGTACGATTTATGTCGGCACCACGCCCGTTATTCGAGGTTTCAATGTGATGGAGCGCTTGCAGCTTGCGTGGTTTTGCGCACAGGAGATTCTCATCTCGATCATTTACATCGTCGAGACTCTGAAGCTGCTACGTTTGCGGCCCGAAAAGGACGCTGAA